TTTTTTTTTTTTTTTTGTTATTTTTGTGCTAGGGGTTGAACCCAGAGCCTTAGGTGCATATTAAGCACCTAAGGCTCAGGGTTCAACCTACTCTTGAACTATTCCCTCAGCCCAAGATCTATCTTTAGAAAGGCCATGGTTATTCTTGGGATGAGATAATGTTGTGATGTGTCACAATAAAGGGATATTTCTGCATATTGTGTTCATAATTGATTCATCATAGATATCTGCTTAATTTTTCCTTATCCTAACAACATTTACTTAGGTTTTTCCTTATCATTAATGTGGGACTCCACACCCTTCTCCATTTGTATCAGGGAGTTCTCACTCAAATAAATCTTGATTCTTAAAATCTCTGGTGCTTTTATTGACTGCCAGCTCCCAGTGTAATTAATGGCTATGCTGATTCAGAAAATATGTTTGCTTCAAAAATGTTTTAATTTTAATAAACCTTTTATTTTGGGATATTAAGTTTATAGAAAAGTCACAAAGATATTATGAGTCTCCATGTACATTTCTTTAGCCATCCTTATCATTCACTTCTTACATAATTGTGTCATGTTTGTCAAAACTAAGCCATGCCAGCCCTGGCCCCACACCGGAGCATACTGAGCCAGTCACTGAGACCAGGCTTGATGGCACATGCCTGAAATCCCTGCACTGGGGAGGCTGAAAACAGGAGGATCACTACGAGTCTGAGCTGCATGGTGAGATCCAGTACCAAATACATAAAAACAAACCAAAACTAAGACTAATATTTTTACATTACTCTTATCTAAACTTCACATTCTGTTCAAGTTTTATGAGTTTTCCAAATCACGTTCCTGGGCCCGGGAGATAGCTCAGTAGAATAAGAACTTGCCTGGCAAGCATAGGGTCCTGAGTTCAATCTCCAGTACCGCAAAAAACAAAACAACCCCAATTACCCAAATCGTGTGTCTTCTGTTCCAGGAATCAGCCAGATCACCATATTATAGTTAGGGTGTTTATGTTAACGGGACTAGTCTTAACTTATATCTGCAGTGCAGCTTAGAGAAGGGAAAGGCTGGGATCTTCATGCCGCTGAAGATTGCGAGAGCCTTTTCTTGGTGATTATGAAGGATTCCTCCGTGAGGTGTGGTATTAATTTTAGTGTCTTCTAGCAGATTTTCTTGTTTTATCCTGCACATTTGCAATCAGCCCAGGATTTTGTGATTGAGAACAGTGCTGAACTCTGTGCTCTTTGAGCTATTTTCTAAGTAGGTAATGCTAACATAAATTATGCCTTTGCCCAGTCCTATTTTTTATAAATGCACGTCAAGTGATTTTCATCAACTAAAACACTTGGTCATTACCTTTCCCAAGTTCACGGTTGCTGCTTCAAAACCTTGTGGTTCCTGGCTGTTGAGTACTTCTTACTTCACCATGAGATTATCCTTTGATGAAAGCAACATTAGCCTCTCTGCTGTTTCACCCCTAATTCTTCTCTTTCTTGTTGTAAGAATGAAAGGAAGTACTGCTTAACACAGCAGGTAATAATCTTCAAAAACTCGTTATCTCAAGAGGTGGTCCTGGCAGGATATATAAATGTAATGTAACGAGGGTGTAGGCAAAGTTCTGAATGACAGAATTGGGAGTGGCCACTGAGAGAAACTGGGGCTTGCCTTGGCTTTGACATTGAGGTCAGGCAGAGCATCTGCACCCTCCTGGGTCCTGCCCCTTAGGGTTGCTGTGGGCAGCACCATGTGAGCCAGGGCTCTCATCCAATGGGGGGATGCTTATGCTACCAGCATGTCAAAAGCTC